TTCTTATTCTTATACGTACTACTTACTACGTACTATATATTATATGAAAAATGGAAAATGGAAAATAGAAAATACTCTAAAGCAATTTCCAAAGCTATTTTATTTTATTTTTCATTTCAATTTAAATAAAATAAAATAGAAAAGTTTCTTTTTTCTTCTTCTCTAGTGAAGTTAATATGAACAGAATAGGAAAATTAAACTAAAACTGTTATTGAGCATATCCGTGTTTGTATTTTACATGCTTAATTATGTAGTACTATTGCCTGTAATATTAACTTCAATATTAACTTTAACTTTAACTTAATCTTTAAGGAAGAATAAAATTTTATACATACTTATATTTTTATTAAAAAATTTAACATATGAATGCTAGTGCTACTGCTAGTGCTAGTGCTAGTGCTACTGCTAGTGCTAGTGCTAGTGCTAGTGCTAGTGCTAGTGCTAGTGCTAGTGCTAGTAAATAGGCGCAATCAATAGATTGTTGTTTTATTAAATTTTATTCAATAAGGACAAGGAATATAAGCAAAGCTTCTTAATTAGTAATTTTACTTGAAAAGTTTTCTATCATTTAAGGTTTTCATTCACGCTGGCACTCGTACTCACACTTGCACTCGCACTCGCATGCATGCCTATTGTACATTTTATATGGAACTGAACAAAACTTGAGCTTACGTGCATTTCGTATACGACACGATTACAATTTCAAAATTAAAAATGATGCGAATATACGTATACAGCAGAAATTAGTTAAATAATTGCATTTTATATAAATAAATAATAGATATGTGATATAAAGAAAAATATTATTAGTAACAAAATAAAATAAAAAAAAATTAAAACCGCAAAAAAAAGGAAAAAAGTAAAAAAGTGTTGTGGAGCCAACAACACGCGGTGTTCCCAAGCGGTCCCCCATCTAAGTACTAACCGCGCCCGACGCTGCTTAATTTCGGTGATCGGACGAGAACCGATGTATTCAACGTGGTATGGTCGTTGGCAAAGAAAGCGTTTCAAAAAATCTACATCTACCAGTATTTTAATCTTATTCTTATTCTTATTCTTATTCTTATTCTTATACGTACTAGTTACTACGTACTATATATAATATGGAAAATGGAAAATGGAAAATAGAAAATACTCTAAAGCTATTTCCAAAGCTATTTTATTTTATTTTTCATTTCAATTTAAATAAAATAGAAAAGTTTCTTTTTTCTTCTTCTCTAGTGAAGTTAATATGAACAGAATAGAAAAATTAAACTAAAACTGTTATTGAACATATCCGTGTTTGTATTTTACATGCTTAATTATGTAGTACTATTGCCTGTAACATTAACTTTAACTTTAACTTAATCTTTAAGGAAGAATAAAATTATTATACATACTTATATTTTTATTAAAAAATTTAACATATGAATGCTAGTGCTAGTGCTAGTGCTAGTGCTAGTGCTAGTGCTAATAAATAGGCGCAATCAATAGATTGTTGTTTTATTAAATTTTATTCAATAAAGACAAGGAATATAAGCAAAGCTTCTTAATTAGTAATTTTACTTGAAAAGTTTTCTATCATTTAAGGTTTTCATTCACGCTGGCACTCGTACTCACACTTGGACTCGCACTCGCATGCATGCCTATTGTACATTTTATATGGAACTGAACAAAACTTGTGCTTACGGTGCATTGCGTATACGACACGATTACAATTTCAAAATTAAAAATGATGCGAATATACGTATACAGCAGAAATTAGTTAAATAATTGCATTTTATATAAATAAATAATAGATATGTGATATAAAGAAAAATATTATTAGTAACAAAATAAAATAAAAAAAAATTAAAACCGCAAAAAAAAGGAAAAAAGTAAAAAAGTGTTGTGATGCCAACAACACGCGGTGTTCCCAAGCGGTCCCCATCTAAGTACTAACCGCGCCCGACGCTGCTTAATTTCGGTGATCGGACGAGAACCGATGTATTCAACGTGGTATGGTCGCTGGCGAAGAAAGTGTTTCAAAAAATCTACATCTACCAGTATTTTAATCTTATTCTTATTCTTATTCTTATACGTACTACTTACTACGTACTTATTTTATGGAAAATGGAAAAGAAAATACTCTTAAAGCATTTCCAAAACATTTTTATTTATTTTTCATTTAATTTAATAAATAAAATAGAAAAGTTTCTTTTTTCTCTCTCTAGTGAAGTTTAATATAACGAATAGAAAATTAACTTTAAATTTAGTGAACATACCGTGTTTGTATGTTACTTGCTTAATATGGAAGTACTGATTGCCTTGTTAATGATTAACTTAAATAATTAACACTTTTTTTAAGGAGAATAAATTATTATACATACTTATTTTTTATTAAAATTTAACTATGAATGCTAGTGCTACTGCTAGTCTACTGCTAGTGCTATGTGTGCTATGCTTATGCTAGTGCTAGTGCTAATAAATAGGCGCAATCAATAGATTGTTGTTTTATTAAATTTTATTCAATAAGGACAAGGAATATAAGCAAAGCTTCTTAATTAGTAATTTTACTTGAAAAGTTTTCTATCATTTAAGGTTTTCATTCACGCTGGCACTCGTACTCACACTTGCACTCGCACTCGCATGCATGCCTATTGTACATTTTATATGGAACTGAACAAAACTTGAGCTTACGTGCATTTCGTATACGACACGATTACAATTTCAAAATTAAAAATGATGCGAATATACGTATACAGCAGAAATTAGTTAAATAATTGCATTTTATATAAATAAATAATAGATATGTGATATAAAGAAAAATATTATTAGTAACAAAATAAAATAAAAAAAAATTAAAACCGCAAAAAAAAGGAAAAAAGTAAAAAAGTGTTGTGGAGCCAACAACACGCGGTGTTCCCAAGCGGTCCCCATCTAAGTACTAACCGCGCCCGACGCTGCTTAATTTCGGTGATCGGACGAGAACCGATGTATTCAACGTGGTATGGTCGTTGGCAAAGAAAGTGTTTCAAAAAATCTACATCTACCAGTATTTTAATCTTATTCTTATTCTTATTCTTATTCTTATTCTTATTCGTATTCTTATTCTTATTCTTATTCTTATTCTTATTCTTATTCGTATTCTTATTCTTATTCTTATTCTTATTCTTATTCTTATTCTTATTCTTATTCTTATTCTTATTCTTATTCTTATTCTTATTCTTATTCTTATTCTTATCCTTATTCTTATTCTTATTCTTATTCTTATTCTTATTCTTATTCTTATTCTTATTCTTATTCTTATTCTTATTCTTATTTTATTCTTATTCTTATTCTTATTCTTATTCTTATTCTTATTCTTATTCTTATTCTTATTCTTATTCTTATTCTTATTCTTATTCTTATACGTACTACTTACTACGTACTATATATAATATGGAAAATGGAAAATGGAAAATAGAAAATACTCTAAAGCTATTTCCAAAGCTATTTTATTTTATTTTTCATTTCAATTTAAATAAAATAAAATAGAAAAGTTTCTTTTTTCTTCTTCTCTAGTGAAGTTAATATGAACAGAATAGAAAAATTAAACTAAAACTGTTATTGAACATATCCGTGTTTGTATTTTACATGCTTAATTATGTAGTACTATTGCCTGTAATATTAACTTCAATATTAACTTTAACTTTAATTTTATCTTTAAGGAAGAATAAAATTATTATATATACTTATATTTTTATTAAAAAATTTAACATATGAATGCTAGTGCTACTGCTAGTGCTAGTGCTAGTGCTGGTGCTAGTGCTAATAAATAGGCGCAATCAATAGATTGTTGTTTTATTAAATTTTATACAATGAAGACAAGGAATATAAGCAAAGCTTCTTAAATAGTAATTTTACTTGAAAAGTTTTCTAACATTTAAGGTTTTCATTTACGCTGGCACTCGTACTCACACTTGCACTCGCACTCACACTCGCATACATGCCTATTGTACATTTTATATGGAACTGAACAAAACTTGTGCTTACGGTGCATTGCGTATACGACACGATTACGATTTTCAAAATTCAAAATTCAAAATTCAAAATTAAAAATGATGCGAGTACACGTATACAGCAGAAATTAGTTAAATAATTGCGTTTTACATAAATAAATAATAGATAGGTGTATAAAAAAAAATATTATTATTTACAAAATAATATAAAAAAAATTAAAACCGGAAAAAAAAGGAAAAAAGTAAAAAAGTAAAAAAGTGTTGTGAAGCCAACAACACGCGGTGTTCCCAAGCGGTCCCCCATCTAAGTACTAACCGCGCCCGACGCTGCTTAATTTCAGTGAGCGGACGAAAACCGATGTATTCAACGTGGTATGCGTTGGCAAAGAAAGTGTTTCATAAAATCTACATCTACCAGTATTTTAATCTTATTCTTATTCTTATTCTTATTCTTATACGTACTACTTACTACGTACTATATATAATATGGAAAATGGAAAATAGAAAATAGAAAATAGAAAATAGAAAATAGAAAATACTCTAAAACTATTTCCAAAGCTATTTTATTTTTCATTTCAATTTAAATAAAATAAAATAGAAAAGTTTCTTTTTCTTCTTCTCTAGTGAAGTTAATATTAACAGAATAGGAAAATTAAACTAAAACTGTTATTGAACATATCCGTGTTTGTATTTTACATGCTTAATTATGTAGTACTATTGCCTGTAATATTAACTTCAATATTAACTTTAACTTTAACTTAATCTTTAAGGAAGAATAAAATTTTATACATACTTATATTTTTATTAAAAAATTTAACATATGAATGCTAGTGCTACTGCTAGTGCTAGTGCTAGTGCTACTGTGCTAGTGCTAGTGCTAGTGCTATTGCTAGTGCTAGTGCTAGTGCTAGTGCTAGTGCTAGTGCTAGTGC